GTTACCTTGGCATGTTCCGACATGCCATCGCCACAATTTTTCAAATCTTCAAAGGCACCAAGAACCCGTGCCGCAAATTTTTCAAAACTAAAATTCTTCTTTCCATTGTAGTGGGTTGTATTCAAGATGCGGTAGGCAGAGTCGCGCCTCTTATTGAGTTGGCCCTCACCCTGATAGTGGGCAACCAGATCAAGATACGCTTGCCTTCCATTTTCTGTAGTCTTGTATCCTTTGATAACAGGCCAAGCATCCGTTCCATGGCAGACCGAATATAACATATTCCACACAGCTTTGTTATTAGCGACAAACTGGTCCTCTTGATGCAAGCTCCGACGAATTGCCTCATCTTCCACAGATGGCATAAGGAAACCAGGATCAGCTGTTGGATTGTCGTCCGGATTCTGATGCTCACGGATTACATATGTGAGCAAAGTGCCACCCTTTCCGCGATTGCGCTTCAACCACTGTTCCAAGCTCTCCATCAGTTTGACCGTATTTTTATTATCAAATTTGGGGGGCATAACCTCTGAAATATCTTCAAATTCGTTTGACTTGTTCTTCAAGTGGGAATAATAGCAATTGATTTTTGCCAAATTCGCTTGCGTCCCAAAAGCTGGATAATGTTGGCGATCCACCATATAAATAAATTGGCAATAGTCGCAAAGGTCGTAGAGCATGATTTGCTGGGCTTGGTTGATGGAAAATGTGGTGTCAGGATCATTTCCTGGATCAATCACAGTGCGATTGATTTGTTTCACCAAGGAATCAATATTTTCGCGCGTCGAGCGAGCAAAGAAGGCAGGGGAGCTGAAGCCCTGTTCAATAACAATCTCTTGTGCCTCATTCTGAGAGAAATCGAGAACATCTCGAATGTAATTTCTCCATGCGATTCTTGTAGCGGCCATCGTTCAATGTCTTTCGTGTTGTTGTGAAAATAACACGGCACAAATTTCAATATTTTTGTTTTGCCAGTTGTTTTCAGTTTCTGATCGCAATTTTGCACGACTACGTCAGTGTGAGATCTTAATTAAAAGAATCGCACTACAAATAATTATATACGGAGTATCGAGCAAGATATCCTGGGTACGTCTACCCGTGTGGCAAATTACTCGCAACCAAACGGTTTAAACGGTAACAAGTGGCCGTCTTCAGTCAACGCTTGAGACTGAAATGTAGCGACGTGAAAACCACGGATCCTTTGACATTGGGCGATCCAACCTTTGCCGGTCAACCACAAACTTTGGAGATCAGATATTATTTCAAAAAGCCTTCTCAAGCTTTAGCTCACAACAAAGAGCTTCTGGGTCTGATAAACCGTTAAAATGCGCTGGTAGTCAGCCAAAACAGATCAATCACTGGACGAAATATAGACAAGGAAAACTTGTGACTACCAGGTTCTTTCAGACTACAAAACTACACGTACGGAGGACAGACCACGTACTTCCCAAAATAATGTATCATTGACATCATTGTCTGCATCTGCCAAGAGCTCTTCTCTTTTGGAGTCATTGATATCATCAAATTGTCCACATAGGTTGAAATCACGTTCATCTTCATCTTCAGGTTCATAGTCCTGATCAAAGGCTTCTTCTACTAAGTAACCTTGTTCCGTGTCATCCACTCCTGTGATTTGATCGTCATCTTGAAATGTCTCCAAATTTCTCTTCCTATCAAAGAACTTCATGGAAGTAACACCTTTGGCAGCAGCCCAAGCTTCAGCACACTGGATTACTTGATCGGTAATGGGTAGTACAACGACCTTGGGTCGGGAAATCATCTTCTTAGTATTGAGGTTGAGCACTTGGTGCCCACTACGTTGTCCCTTTGTAGGTTCAATGTAAATCGCTTTGATACTTCAGGGTTCCATCTAATTGTTGGAATCCGTCCCAATTGCATGAACATGTTGTCCAAGTTCAGCAACCATGTCACTCTTTTAGTTGATATTGACCATATCAATGAGTTGCTGCAGACTGAAATGTGATGAGATAATGTCTTTCTGGGGAAAGACATTCAATAGCTCGGCGGCTTGACGTCCAAGACATTCAGTGATCACTTTTGGAACCACTTTGTAGGGTAATTGTGCAAGAGCTACTCTGACTCTTTCTTTCAGCATCCTATTGTTTTGCTCAGCGGTAGGCTCGTGGTCTCCAGCTGCAGTCAGGTCAATAGTAACACCCATAGTGCCTAGCATATCATCTGTGAGAGGAATGAATGCCCAATCACACTTGATGATCTTGACTTGAAAGCCTGCCTTGTTCTAGCGGCGGAATATCTTATCCAATGCTTCAAATACATGGTCAGTCTTCAGGTT